GCCTGTAATCCCAGCTACTTGAGAGGCTGAGGCAGGAGAATTGCTTGAACCCAGAAGGCAGAGGTTGCAGTGAGCCAAGATCGCTGCACTCCACTCCAGCCAGGAAAACAAAACAAAAAAACGTCAAAAAAAAAAAAAAAAAAAAAAAAGAAAAACCACAGTAACATAAATGCTCCAGCACAGGTGGGCAAAGGGTCCTGGTGGGGCTGGGGCAGTGGATAAGGGCAGTCCTGTGTACAGATCTCGGCCATGGAGGCCTAGGAAGGTGGGTGGACCCAGTTTAACACTTGGCCTCCTTCACCAGGTTCTAACCCTCACCTACTGACTCGGTATGTTCAGCACAGGAGGCCTAGGACCTTCTTCTGAACCCAGCCAAGTACGCTTTGGACCCCACCACTCGAAATCCAGCCCAAGTGCCTGGCTCCCTGGCCTCTGGGGCCTCCCGCTGGTGTGACAACCAGACCGAGTAAGAGATCAAGCCTTGTTCGCTGAATGACCCCTTTGTGAAACACCCACTGGGGGCCCCGGGGAAGCCTCACAAAGGCCAGGGCTACACGCTGGAGCTCCACAAAGTGCTGGCCCCGCAGACAGAGGGTTCTTGCAGACAGAGGGGAGAGGCGCGATACTCACTGCTCAGGGCTCGGCACAGACGTCCTCCGGCCTTCCACTGTGATGTTGCTCTTTGGTCTCTTAACAACATGAGGACGAGGTGGGCGCACCTAGAGGAGTACAGGGGGAGACCCCAAGAAGGAGTGAGTTGGAAAAGCCATACAGGAACATTCTGAAGATTTGGATAAACGCCCCCACCCCCCCAAAATGTTTAGGAAATTTCAAAGCTACAGGCTACAATAGCCCAGCCTATCACAGAAGTATCACCATCTAATAGGCAGCAGATAGACACATTAACTGGAATTCTGTGGCCTATTTAAATCAGAAAGGTGCTCCTGGAAAGCTCGGTTTCTTCATCTGCAAGATGAGGATAGTTCCACTGGCCTCCTTGCAGGGCTGCAGTGAGGGTCCAATGAGATGATGTCTACATAGGACCCAGAACCAAGAGGCCCTTATCAATGACAATTCCGTCTCATCTTCCTCTGACGCCCAGAAGCTGGTTTTGTAGAAAGAAAAGGTTGTGCTCACACCTGTTTTCAGGGTGCACATGCTTAGTTTGCTCTTTTTACAACAGAATCACAGGGTGCTTATTTTCCTCTCTAAATAAGAGAGGCATGAGAGAGTGCCACTACAAATCGTCTTTCTGTTTCCCAGGGCATCCCCGTGCCGGTCCTCCCAGCAGGGTTCAGCCTGGATGCTGCCCATCTTGTGTAGCTACATGCACTGAGCAGACCTAGTGGGAGGGCCTCCAGCGGGCACATCAGGAAGGACCCAGCTTCCTAACTCCACAGCTGCTGCTGCAGCAGCGGGATGGGTTTTTCCTACCTACTGCCTCTGAAAACCAAGATGAGGGCCCACAGAGAAAGGCACCCTCATCCCCTGCCAGAGCCCGTGATGGATGTTAGGCTGAGAATTTGTAGGTGCCCTTAGAAGTATACTCATTTGGTCCAATTGACATTCCACGGCTTTAATTTGGCACGGCCATCTCTGTACACTCCCAGTGCCTGAGAGGGATGGGTTGAGAGCTAAGCTGAGAAAGTCTATCTCTGAATTTCATTGCCGATAAAAACCACCAAGCCTGCCGGGGCAGGGGGCTTGCTTTCTCCATGGATGGGATGCCACAGCTGCTGAGTTTCCAGGACAAGACAGGGAAGGAGAGCAGGCACACACTCCATTTCCTGCCCGCCCCTTCTCCTGAACATCACACCTCCCGCCCCCCAGAAGCTTGTGGGTGACACGGCACAATGGCTTAGGAACACAGATGACAGAAGCTGGCTGCATAAAAGACAAGTTTTTATGGAGTCTCAGCAAGCCCTCAGGTCTGTGCACGTGTGATCTAACCAAAGGTTTTCCTGTGGAGTGGCCAGTCTGATCTCAGACTGGTTTGGCAGATCAGGGATGTGGTAAACACCAAATGCATTCCACCAAACTGGCTGTCTTCATCTATGGGGTGATTGTGAAGACTGGATACAGGGAAAGTCCCTGCATGGGGTCTGGTACACAGTGGGGGCTCAATAAATGTTCATCCTGCTCCTCTGTGACCTGGATGTCCCTTCTTGTCAACAACAAAAGGAAGACGAAGAGTGGTTGTCTCTGAGTTAGAAGATGAGTTTTAGGATTCTCTTATCCCTGCCTCGCATTCTGTGGACTGCCTTGGGTGTCATGGTCGCTCAGCAAGATTTTTAGAAACAAGTGAACATTGCTGCTCGGAATCTGAGAAGTGCCTAATGACGTTGCTAGTATCATCGTGATTAGAACTGTGCCTGCCACACAGCTCACATTCAGGCAACATGTGCTGAATAAACAAGTGGATATCCCCGCACCTCTTCTAACTCTGAACTGGTTTCCCCAGCTCTGGCAGCTGGTCAACAGGGTCACCTGGCTGGAATGATCCCCACCCCCAACTTCTCCCCACAAAAGGCGGGAGTGTGGGTAGGGTGAAGGAGCAGTTCTGCCCCTGCCCCGGGGGGCCCTGGGGCAGAGCTTTCAGGAAAGGTCAGACTTTAAGGCCTGTCAGCTCGTCCTTGCACAGGGCTGCTCCTTGCTACAATAAAGGCGGGTTAAGAATGTGAACTTGTGGCTGAAATGGGGGGATTAAGTTTGTGGCAACTTCAACTGAACTTGCAACGTGGTGAAACATGGGGAAAAAGAACAACAGAGCTAATTAGACGAGCTGAGCTGTCAGAGTGCCGCTGAATGGCTCAGCGCCAACAAACAAAAGGAATGGGTTGGCAATCAGCGGGATCGGTGGAGGAGACTGCTTCATTAGGGATGATAAAACAGACAGAGCAGTGGGGGAGGGGCGGGGGTGGGGAGCACAGAGCCGGAGCCGCGGAGGCTGGGGAGGGAGAGAAAGACACGCCAGACCCAGAGGCGGTTGGTCACCAGCACAGCTGCTGACCTACCCAGAGTTACACACACCTGACTGGTGTGGACAAGCCAGACACAAAATTACACTCACAGACATGACCATCCCGAGATATATTGAGGCCTCCAGACTTCCATGTAAACACCATCTCAGAAATGCACACTCACAGAGGCACGCGCAAGAGGTGAAGGCACATGTATGAATCCCACACTCACGCACACGCACCCTCGCACGTGCATGGCGGCGGGCCACAACCAGGCACAGACACATACAGACAAAACGGTTTATTAATGAAGCCTGAATCACAGACTATGCAGACAAGTCTTGTCATATTTCAGCCATCACACCCATCTTTCTGGGGTGCTTAGGAAGGGTGGGTATGGGGGATGAAGGAAGAAACCCACAGGCACACACAACAGTGACTGGCCCCACCAGTGTGAAGATCCCAGCCGCGCCAGGGGAGAAAATGCTAAACAGAGATTTCCAGCTCTGTTCAAGGGGGACTGGAGGGGAAACTTGGGAAGCCAGCCAATTCCCCACTGGATTTAAAACCTGAGAAATCTTAAGTCGGCAGGGTTAAATGTGTATTGAATACAAAAGCACTGAGTACATTTGATTTTAATGGTGAGCAAGAAATAATAAATACAGAGCTTATAAAGCGCTTCACACGCAGGCCGACGGCAGTCTGCCTCTCCCTTCGTCCAGGAGGCGCTGGCATGGTTTTCTTCTGCTCTTTCCTTTTTCTTGTTTTTAAAAAGAAAGCCCAAATCCTCGGGTAACATCTGAACTCCAGCCACAGGTGCCAGGCTACAAAGCTCCTTCCAGAAAGGCTGAATGGCTAGAGCCTCCCCCGCCTCTGCTACCCCGGGCCAACGGCTGCACTTCTGTCCTGAACGTTTGTGGCTACGTGACCCAGCAAAGCCACACTGGAGGCTGATGGCTCCTGACATGGGAGCTTGGCAGGCTGTCCTCTTCGAGGCCCTCAGGGGGTTCTATATGCTGAGTCTCCCCGGTTCCCACCTAGTCTGTAGCAGGGTCCACTGGAAATGCTTGCATAAATGCACGTAGAGTAAATGGTCCTTAGGGGCCCAGAAAGCATAAACCTTCTGTGACTCCCAAATTGGTCTCTTAGTGCTGCCGCTTGGCAGAATAAGTTCGGGGGACACGCCAGGGACCGTGCTAGGCGCTATACATACACAACCTCTATTGTTAAACCCATTTTACAGATGATGAAACTAAGGCTCAGAGAAGGTGAGGATCCTGCCTAAGGTCGCACAGCCAGGAAGTGGCCAAGCTGTAATTCAAACCAGGGCAGGCCTCTCTGACTTCCAAGGCTAGGAGAGCTGGTTCTCCCAGGCATCCCGCCTATTCGGCATGCCATCAATCCAGGAGGTTCGGCCAAAACTAGCACCAGGCTAGTCACCTCCTGCATTAGCTCAGAGCCTGAGGCAGCTGCTACTCAGTGTCTCTCACAGCGTCTGTCTCCCGAGTCCTCGGTTGCCAATGGATGTGGCGGCCCACCCCACAATCTGCACAGATCCCCACACTGGTGAGAAAACACACAGTCCACTGTTGCTGTCTCCAATACTTGAACTCTTCCAAGGGGAGTGATCCTTCCCTGAATCATGACTTTTTTTTTTTTTTTTTTTTTTTTGAGACGGAGTCTCGCTCTGTCGCCCAGGCTGGAGTGCAGTGGCCAGATCTCAGCTCACTGCAAGCTCCGCCTCCCGGGTTTACGCCATTCTCCTGCCTTCAGCCTCCCGAGTAGCTGGGACTACAGGCGCCCGCCACCTCGCCCGGCTAGTTTTTAGTTTTTTTGTATTTTTTAGTAGAGACGGGGTTTCACCGTGTTAGCCAGGATAGTCTCGATCTCCTGACCTCGTGATCCGCCCGTCTCGGCCTCCCAAAGTGCTGGGATTACAGGCTTGAGCCACCACGCCCGGTCTGAATCATGACTTTCAAGATTCTGTGCCTGCCTTGGATGCCAAGCCTCAAAGGGGAACACTGAGAGCTACCTGCTGCTGACTTTGGCTTAAGGGGAGGCTGTTTGGTAGAAAACAAAGAGACAGTGGAGAGAGGCAAGCTGGGCTCAAAGGCAGGACTTATCATCAGGCCTGTCATCATCCCTGTGGTGTTGGCTACAAATTAGGGAGATGGCATCTGCGTGCCCTGGGCTGGACAAATGAGACAGTAATGACACAAGTGCCCAGCACAGTCCTAGGCACCAGAAAAGGTGCTCAATGAATATTAATTCTCTTCTCCTCTGTGTCTCTGCCAGACCTAACATGGCACTGGAGATTCCGCAGACAGTTCAGCCGCTACTCATTACTTTTTTCTTGACTGAATTTTTTTCCTTCTCCCAGCATTTTATATAGGTTGAGCATCCCTAATCTGAAAATCAGAGATCTGAAACACGCCAAAATCCAAGACTTCTTGAGCCCCAACATGATGCTAAAGGAAACGCTCACTGGAGGATTCTGGATTTTGGATTAGGGGCACACGACCAGGAAGTATCATGCAAATATTCTAAAATCCGAAACAAACCGAAAGCTGAAACTCTTCTGGTCCCAAGCAGAAGACGAAGGGTCCAGAGAGCTTGGAATACTGGCAAGACTACAGGTTCTAGAGTCCAGATGACCTTATTTGCAGTTGAGGAACCTGGGTTAAGTTACCAAGCATGAGTTTGCTCATTGCTAAACAGGGTGGTGACAGTGCCTACACTTCACTGAGCTACTGTGAGGC